CGAAGTCCTCGAGTGGCAAGGATGCTGTGCAGCAGGCGGGCAGCCAGGCCTCGCTGCAAGAGGAAGACCCCGAGAGGATGAAGCACAGTAAGATTAGAGCCTGGGACTACGCTGGTTCAGGAGCCCTCAGGGGGTTGTCCTGTAGGAAGGGGCTCTGCTCCAGCCAATGCAGCTGCCAGTGTCTCTCTGAATGTATCCCAGCCTTGTTTTGGCACCTTGATAATTTGCACACATACACACACCACCACACCCCACCCTGCCCCAGTTTCGTGCAGCAACACTGGGAGTTAAAAACCAGTTGCAGCGGTGGTAGATGTATTTCTGTAGGACTTAGAGGACTGGAAATGGATTGAATTCGCTGCAGCATAGCAAGCTGCACTGTCAGCCCGGCTGTCCTCGCTGAGTGTGGCGGTTTAAACCAAGGCACTTCTGGCAAAACCATTTTGCTGAAGTGTTGGGACAGAGTAGAGAGGCTCCCTCTGTCTGTTGCCACTGCAGGCCTGGCAAGCAGGACCATGGTTGTCCCCATCGTGCCACCTTTGCTGCTCAGGCTGTGGAAAGCACACAGCCTTTGGTGCTGGACAGAGCCACCACCTCCCCTCGTTGAATTAGCCCTGAATACCATTATTTCTCTTGGTTTGTGGGGCAGAAAGCAGCGTCCTGTTACTGTTTGGGTGGGTGCTTCACTGCACAGCCCCCGAATCTCACGGTGGTGAAGGCTTCAAGGCCGTCTACTTCTGACAAGGAGCATGTGCCCACCCCCAACCTTGAAACTGCTGAAGCCCCCTGGCAGTACAGTTATTTGACCAAATCTCTCTCTGTGTTTCTCTCTTTTGAGTCAGGAAGGAAACAGAAAACTCCTAAGAAGTTTACGGGGGAGCAGCCATCCATCTCGGGGACGTTTGGACTGAAAGGTAATACAGGGAGCACTCTGGTCAGCTGTAAGGTCGTAGCTTTACCCTGGGGCATTTCAGGGAAGTCCTTTCCCCAAGAGCCCTCGCCGTGGTGGCAGTACACCACAGCCACTTGGAGCCTGGGCATATCACCCTGGAGGAGCCTGGTGCCTTTTGCTGTAAGAGAGTCATAAAGGGAACGAAAGGCAGGAGCAGAGCAGGCATCGATGACAACCCTGTCTGTACTGCTCGGGAGCCTGTCGCTGGGAAATGAGGGAAGAGAGGAGAGGATCCGGGTACATCCAGCTGTAACACAAGAATAAAGAGCTGCTGATGGAAGTGAGATATGAGGAACGTCATCATCATCCCTCTGCCCCGGGATGTGACGGTGTTTCCATCGGGAAGGATTTGTGCTGCCCAGAAAGGCTGGGTGATGCATCCGTCCCTCAGACAATGTCTCCAATGGTGGTCGCCCACATTCAAGGAAATGAATTCAGTGGGGAAGGGACATGTTACTGGGATGTTTTCTGAGAGGAGCCTCGAGAGTTGGCTCCTTCAGCCTAAGAAAGCAAGAGCTTGTGGGACCGTGGTCATGCTCCATAAATACACCTGGAAAGGAGAGAGGAAGCCTTGGAGCATTCCTGGTACGAGAGCAACTGCACTCAGAGTGGCTGTGAAATAACATTTGATCAGGCAAATAAAAAGCAGATTTCCAGGCACTGCAGGAGGCGGCACCTTCCAGTACAAGAGGCGCTCAAGGGAGAGGCACTAATAGCTTCGAAGGAATTAAACACTTCCCAAAGAGCAGGCTGGATGTGGTCTCTGCGATTTCCAGTGCAGGAGCATCAGCAGAATCCTGAATTTGCTGTTCCAATTCTCCTTTTCAGTTCCCTGCAGAATGCCTCTTTGCCTCCTACCTTACCTGTTTTCTCCATGGTCTGCCTTGCTGAAGCATCCTACACTGCTTTGCCATGCTGTTTCCACAGTTCATAAACTGTCTGGGTTGGGGAAATGATCCTGTTTATAAAACAGCACAAGCTGTTATGATATTGTTTGCCATAATTAGGGACCTGATCCTACACATACAGCCTTGGCAGACCTACAGCCAGCTCAGTGTCCCAGGGTTAGAGGTAGATATGTGTTACCCACTAAATGCGGGTTGGTCTGAGGGCGTTAAAGCAAGAACTGAATAAAAATCCTCTCTCTACAGGTCTTGTCAAAGCAGAGGACAAGGCGAAAGCCCATCGAGCCAAGAAGTTGGAGGGGAACACCAGCATGGAGGAGCTGAAAAAGAAACCGCCAGGAGTTAGTGTGAAGAAGGAAACGGCTGTGCATCTACCAACAGGTGAGGCTGGTGGAGGCAAAGCACAGGCAGCGATCCCATGTGTAGTTTAGCTGCTTATCCTATGCTCTGCTGCAAGCCTGGTCAGTCCTCAACATCACACACAGTCCCAAACTTCACACCACTGTCCCCTCTTTCACCCACAGCGAGTGGTCCCCGCGACCTCTCCTGGCCCAGTGGGCTGTTTGGGTGAGTTTTCTAGCAGGTTGGCAAGCTGAAGCAGCACAAAATCAGAAGTAGGTGCACGCAGCTCCTGCCCTTTCGAGGTGTAGCACAGATGTGGGAACAGCAGCTGCTCTTAAAGTATTGGTGAATTGCTCGATGTCCTGAGAGGGGTACCTGACCTTCGCTTCACTCCTGGTACAGCCCACTGCAAGTGTTGGGAGTAGACAGCCAAATCCTGGTCCCACTGGCTTTGCTGTGACCGCAGTTGGGGTCAGCATCCGGGATGACAGCTTTTTTCCAACATCATCTCTGAGAATGACACCAGTGTGTAACTGGGGGCGGGATTATCTCTTCCCAAGCCTCCGAGGTGCACCATAGTGCAGGTTGCTGCCTTTCCCTGGGAGCTCTGACAGCAGGAGGGAACTGCAGGATGTGCAAGGTAAACACAGCTGCGACGCCTTACACTGCTTTCAAATTCAAATAAACGACTCTCTGATCTCACAGCCGTGCAAAAACATCCAAATAAACAGACTTGGCGGATTTTATTCAGACCAGGCTTCCCTTGCTGGAAGCCCAGCGCTGGTTCTGCTGAGAACGCAGCATGAACTCTGGGCCTGGGAGCAGGTTTTGGCCCTACATATCTCTTATTTCGGGTTGTTTTTTAAGCAGGTCACAGCCATTCAAATAAACAGATGCTTGGAAGCTCACACTCCCCTAGCTGCCTGTGTGTGTGCCGGGAAGAGGATTGCCAGGGAAGCTTTCCAGGCACACGTCCGGACGGAGCCGAGATGTTCGCCTTTGTTTCACTCCCTCTAATTATTTCGTTTGGTGTGGGGGAGTTATTCCCTACAGGGCAAGATGAGGTGTCTGAGGGCATCGTCATGTTTTTTTCACTCCCAGCGTGCAGGATACCAGCAGGATTGAGAAGTTAGACCTCCTTTTCCCCCACAAAATGCCAGCAGGTCAGGGTAGTTCTGCATAAAGTGACCCAGTGACCCCCAGGTGTGGGGCAGGCAGAGCTGCAGGTGCCTGCATGGTTTGTGTCTGTCTTGGCCCATGCCTGAGGGAGTATTTCTCTTCTTTTAACATCAGCAATTTTTCTTGTTCAGTGCTTTTTGACATAGCAAACCAACACTTAACGACAGGGCTGTCCTCTGCCAAGCGGCCCGGGCAGGTTGTGGCCTCTGTGACTGTAACACCTCTCTCCTCAGCTTCGCCACCAAACCCCGAGGACCAGTGGCAGCGGGAGATCAGTGAGAAGGGAGAAGTCTCTTGCCCAACCTGCAGCGTTATAACCAGGAAAACTGTTGTGGGCCTCAAAAAGCACATGGACGTCTGCCAGAAAGTAAGGACTCGTTTTATTCAATCATGCACATACAGATTTTGGAGGGGAACGGATGTGTGTGTGTGTGTCTTGGTGCTCCTAAAAGCAGTTGTGGGCTGTGTTTGATAGAGCACTTGCTAGTTATCCTCAGAGAGCTGGCTGCCTCACCTCGATTCGGAGGGATTTGGGCCCCTGTTTCTCAGTGATTTTGAATCCCTTTGTGGTCTGGGCCCCTTACCCCAGTGTCTCCAGCAGAGTCGGATATTTCTGGTAGCTAAATGAATAGTTTTAAGGCTGGAGAGGTTGTTGGGGTTGCCTCTAATCTGGCCTCCCGTGGAGTCCCGGCAGTGGGATAGTGCTGTGTGCTGTGCCTCGCGTCAGGCCAGAGAAGTTGTGGTTGAGTGAGAGCACGTCTTGGGAAGACACCGAGCTTGGATGTGCTCGGGCAGGCTCTCAGAACGCAGGAGTTTGGTAACAGTGCAGTGAAAAATTGTCCCTTGGCCACACTGCTACCCATCAGGTCATGGCACTGTGTCTGTGTCCGTCACCTGGCATGGTGCAGAGCCATTGCTGCAGAATCGATGCCTCCTGCTTTGAAAATGCGTGGCTCAGCTTTGATTTCACATTCGTTTTCTGTAAATGCCTCCTCAGCCTCTGCCTCACAGTTTCTACAGCAGTGGGAGGCTGCTCTCCCTTTCAAAGCCCGCGCTACCTCGATGCTGGACCGAATCCTGCCTGCTCTCCCATCCTCCT